TATACTAATATTTTACTAATGTATCGTCATTCAAATAATTGGTTCTTATAATATAAGGTGAAAGCAGAAGTTTCCATTGTGATTTCGGACAAAAAGCGACTGAATAGTTATAGCTAGGGACCAAAATAGATACTGTGAGAATTAGAGAACAACAATAGCTTGGCGACACAATTAGGGACAAGTTTTTTCGCTGTCCTCGGATATTTTTACTTCAACATCTGCATCATGATAATAGATCTTACAATTTTATTGAACCTTTAGACTATGATAGAGCTTGATTCATTCTACAAAAATGTCTCAAACACTTCTCCATTTCTCATAAAAAAATTGAGAAAAATAGATTTTTTTCTTAAATTTGAATTTTTCTCTGTAACTTGTTAGAGGAATCAAAGTTTAGGAATTGTTTTCGCTGATTGACAGGATTGGGGAACTGCCTTCTGGCTCTGTCGAATGCAGGGATTTTTCATAGACGCTAATTTCTGTATGAAAACATGAAAAACAAAAGACAAACAGTATATGATTTGAAAGAGAAGAATCCAGAGAATACCTAAACATAAAAATCTTTTAGATCGGATGTCTGCTAGTTACGTACTAACTCAAAATAAAGATGGTAAAATTTTTGACACAATCGTGGAAACCCACTGTGCATCGTGTAGGAGCAATGAAATATAGAAATATCTTCATATTCCGAAGAGCTCTAGAAATATCTCGGTAGCAACGAACAAATACAGATAGAGTACATTTCGATTTCTTAATAAGTTTCTTCTTATATTTTTTATGGCGTAAAATGTTTAGACTTAAATATATTAATTTCTTGATAATGAAAGTCTTTATAATATTGTTTTCTAATTTCAAAATTTTGCAAGTTTTCATGAAATTATCGATGTCTCAATTGTTGTATCGTCTCCTTAAATAATTGCAGATATGTACAACATAAAGGTTTTTTTTTCAAAAACTGTGTGGTCGTGGAATATTGCTAATCGTCTTTTATGAACACTATTCATTCGCATTATAGTTCTATATTGATCAAATACTAAAATACCTATACGGAATTTTAATTATGATTTTTACTTGTTTCATACTTGAATAGTACGAAGATAGTGATTTAAAGAATTCTTCTCCACACATACCGTCTTTTAATTACATCATTTAATCAATCTCTTTTCTTAATAAATGAATATGGTATAAACGAACAAATTCTGTTTATTTCTATCGCTTGACTTTAGCAGAGCTATTGTAAATAAAAAAAACTATGGTTAGATTACTAATTCAACTGTGTGTTTACAGATTTTATTGTGTCAGTCATGAAATAATGTTCTTTTATACTAGCTTAGGAGTTCACTATATTCCTTCGACTGCACTACGTAGAAAACAATGTTTTTCCATTGGAGTATCGTGATACATTCCGATGGAATAGATAATACGCTTTATTTTAAGTGGAAGCTCTTCAGGAACATGCTTAGTTACTATTAAGGAATGACGATTCTGAAGACTCTCGTATGTCTAACACTCCAAATTTTTAATATTTATTTACCGGATGTTTCAGAAAAATGATTTATGAAACGATTTTCGAAAAATTTTTTTTATGGAATTGCAGCTATTACCTTATCATTAAATGAATAAAAACAATGAATATTTACCATCACAGAGAATATTTTTAGATCAATAATACTTGTGCAGCTAGTAAAAAGATTAGACCTACAAAGATTTCTTTTATCTAGTTCCTTCTGATGAATTTGATTAGGAGTCGTTTGTGTAACATGATGCCACAATGGTCAATTTTCGACAAGAATTATCGAAGATATCAAGGCAGTTAGCAGCTATCAAAAAATAGAAGACAAGTCCGCTGTATCTTGAAGGTTTTGTTATTTTGAGATGCATAAAGACCTATATTCAGCTCTCAACGAAAAAGATGAGTTTTGATCTGGACAATAGTTTAGTGCCATAATTTTTGGATTCAAAATGACTTATTTTCTTATAATATTAAGATAGTGCTTTATTTACAAATGAAGTTATATTTTTCGATACTATGGCGTCCTGTATGCGCAACAATTCTCGTCATTATTTTCTTCAAGATAACGAGATGAAGGTTTCCAGTAATGATATGTATTTTCAAAGTTTTAGGAATCTCAATTTGACGGAGAATATTGGAAGAATAATGGAAGATGAAGCCGAAAACATGCTATCAGAGTTTGAATGTCATATTTATGTTAAATAAATGCTAAAAATATGAGTTTCGAAATGTTTTGACAACTATGGATTGAAATTCTAGACTATTTAAAATTGTTTCATGCTCATATCCATGATAGTTTCATTCACTAAACCCCATAAACGATCTCGATATTAGTTATTGATTGCATTAGTTGGATGATAAAACGCTAATCTAGTTTTGTATTAAACCCAATTCAAATTTTATTTTACAAATGGTCTTTCTTATATCTATACTTGAGTTTATAATATATATGTTGAGAGTTTGACATACAAAAGCCATCATAACGGCTACCGTTTAGTACTAATAAATTTCATTTTGAATGAGTCCTCATTCGACGTAAAATATACTAGCTATTGTGTTTAAATTTATTATAATACAGCCATGAACAATTATTATTTCTTATCTATTAAATAGACCAGAATAAATCACTCTCTCAGAATTTTTGTCTCTAAATCTACTTCTTTTTAACCAAAAGAACTAGCCTTTTTATAAAAAAAAAGATATGCCCCACAATTCTTTACGAAGGAGCATATTCGATTATGGCTAAATAAATTTCACCATTCGATTAAAGCGAATTGAATTCGCTTTGAAAAATGAAAATACTTTCAAAATATGACAATTTTCGACGTTTTTTAATGTTGTCTTGTTTGTTGTTTCTTCCTGATTCTTCTTATTATATCACTTTCGTTCTAATATATATTGGTTCGATCTACGTAGAAAAGCATAAGTATCCCTGAAGCTGCAAAGACTCAAGACTGCTTATCAGTTGAAATTAAATATCAACAAATACAACTGAGAAACAACAAGCAAGACAATATTAGAAAAACATCAAAAATAGTTGTATTTTGAGAGTACTCGTCAGTTTTCAAAGTGAATTCAATTCATTTTAATCGAATAATGAAAGTTATTTAGCCATAATTACATATACTCCCTTTATATAGCATGTTAGGGGACATCTTTTGATTAAAAAAAGGTAATTTTTTTCATTAAAAAGCAAAAGATTTAGAGACAAAATATTGAGAGGACCATTTATTTTAGTCCATCTCATAATATATTGTATGTATTTGCACTGTTATGAAAATTCGCCACCTTCCATTAATGAAATTGCATAGCGTTGAAGTTTATATCTAATGATAAATTCCTGACACCCGTAATGAATTACTTGTACAAGAACAGATCATCTTTTGATGTTACAGACATCTTGCTTTGCCTTTTATACATGATAAATGAATCGTAGCATATAAGTCTCGAGCCACTTGCATTGAATGTCTATTCTTCTGTTCATCAGATTTTTCGAATTATTTTGTAGAAGTATACATAGATGTGTGCATTTGGTTCGTGATTTTTATATGTTGTCCTGAGCAAATACGAAGGACTCAAACCGAATCAATAATCCTTCTAAAATAAGGATTATGAAATTTACATCTTGAAAGTTGAAATTCATGCCAGCTGAGACACTTGTGAACATCTTTGGAACAATAAAGGTTTGATGAAAGCAATTCATTTTATTTTAGTAATGAAAATAGTTAAATGAAAAGCAAGGGGCTAGCGAAAATAAAATAGCCATATTATAACACGAAGAACTCAAAAATCTTCTCGAAAAGTTTTTCGCTCTTGTCATATTGAACTAGAATTATGAAAAAGTCAAAACTAGTTCAAGAAAAAGATCGCTAAGTATTTAAGTATATGATTTTGGTAGAAAGTGGTTCAGAGGGAAGTCTAAGCAAATGATTAGGGGACATAATTCATATAGTCATTGATTACATTGTTTGAACTGTTGTGATCATAAATGTTATTGGCAAAACTTCTTGGGAGGTGGTACATAGGTGAATTTTTGTGCTGCCAGTTGTTGAGGGCCAACTATAAAAGCTGCAAGGAGTCCTGCATCCATATGCCATTCGATGTGACAGTGGAAGAGCCAAGCGCCTGGATTATTAGCTACAAACCGTAGTTTAGCCCAACCACTAGCTGGTACGCTCACTGTGTCACGTTGTACGTAATCTCCAGCATATAAGTTTTCAGCTTGTGGATTTTCCGAAGTTGCTATAATCCAAAAGCTGTAACCATGCAAATGAAATGGATGCTCACCTGCATCTCTGTTCTCAATATAGATGTCCACAACAGCTCCATATGGAATTAAGTAGTGTCCATATTTGTCACTTTGTATGGATGGTAATGGACTGTCACTCGTTATAATTGGAGGGGGAATATCGATTCCGTTCGGTGCCTGTGTCATCTGATAGAGTAGTGGTATGTTAGGCGACGAACGCAATTTTTTAAGTTTCTTTGTGCTGGTAAGATTAAGCGGATTAGAACCATAGGTGATATCGTTAAAATACGCACGAACAATCCCAGAAGAATCTTCATAAAAGTCGACAACTAATTTCAAATAATGGTTTGCATTAGGAATGTTAGTTCGGTAGAATGGTCGAGCATCTAACAAATTAGTATCCGATATATTTCCAGGAGGTGGAGGATTCGAGCCTTCTTGATGGGCTGGATATGTTGGTAATGAATTACTTGAACCAAATGTTAAATAAGCCAGGTATGACGGGTTGAAAAATGTTGGAAATAGAACACTTGGTGTCTTATATGGAGGAATATAGGTGGCAATGTCAACAGGATACATGTCTGCCATCGCTGTTATTCGAATGTAAATTGATTTTGTTGGTGCCAGTCCAGAAGGTACAATGCTTTGGTTAAATTGATTCAAATCCACGCAGAAAGAAACTCGTTGTGCAACGTTGATAGCAAAAGATGATACTGTATATGGTTTAACAGGTGTCTGATCGAGTTCAATAATCTTTAATTGTAATCCATCGATTGAAACAGTATACATGGAAAATGCTGCAGCATTAATTATTCTAAAACGGATGAGTTTTTCACCATTGGCGTTCACGAATAATGATTCAGAAAACTTGCCATTCACAGCAATACCATCAGGTATAGGTTCTATCGCATCTGGATTGCTCGGACTTAAATACCAAGAGTTTAACGTTGTTCGACAAACATCATTGTACCAATCAGTTATTATTAAGGTACGTTCAGTACGATAAAGCGCTTGGGACGGCTCGTATGCTCGATGAATAATCAATGGACCAACTAGACCATCTGCATATTGATCTAGATAGTGGCCATGATACCAAGTAGTACCTCCAGGGAAAGCTTTAAATGTGTATGTCATTTCAGCATTAGGCGGAATGGGACACTGTGTGGCGCCCACAGCACCATCCATGTCTTGTGTACCCCTTTGAAATAAACCATGCCAATGAAGGGTCGTTCCTTGTGGAAGTTTATTGATTACACGAATCTGAAGGGTATCATTTTCGTTCACTTCGATTGTTGGGCCAGGAAAGGCGTAGTTTACGCCTACGACTGGTTTGCTCGATTGAGGATATGGATATGTATTGTCGACGGTGAACGTTATCTTCCTAACAACTCCTTCGGTAGCCATGGGAGCCATAGATATCAGGAAAATTAGTAGAATTTTCATGATTTTGGTCTTTTCTTGGATAGGCTATATGAAAAGAAAAGTGACCGATATTAAATTGTTTCTCTCTCAAATATGGTAGTGTTTGCTATATATTATTAAAACTCAATTGTTTGGAAAAGCTTAAAGTTAATTGCACAAATCTAGTCATTAAACATGAAATTTCAAGAAGACATCAAGCATAATATGCATTAATGGTAAGAAAGGTATGTATATTAAATCTTATTAGACGGGAAAAGAGTTGAATGATCCAAAAGTGTAATATCTAGACTCGAACTTAAATTTAAATTGATACTCCTAATTTGGTCTGAAGACAATAGCCTACCCACATGTTTGTCCATAGAACTCACAAATTGCATCAATAAAGTATATTGTAGACACATTTCAAGTGGAGGAATCTTACCTTATCTAACTGATGCTGTGTCTTATCTACATTGAAATATATTCTAATACTATCATGATGAAACGAAGACAACACCAATTAAAGTTATTAGTTCTACTATTGAGTTGATGCAAAATTAACGACCGTTTTCATTGATTCTAAATTTGTTCAACAATACAACACCAAAGTATATTCAAAACATGTTTAAACGATCATTCTAGAGCATAATCACCATCTACTTCAATAACTGCTTCCCAATTGCTTGGCAAACGATTGATTTCACGTGCAAAAAAGTGACGATCCTTGGATGCAATCCACGCTTTGACGTCAGCGGCAAGATCGTCCAAATCATCGTAGACTTTGCCCGTCTGCCAATTTTTGAGCGAACGATTGACGTGATAGTCTGTAGGAGCTTCAGTGGGAGAATATGGTGGGTGCGCAAGCAGTTCCCATCCTTTGTCGCTGATGTCTAAGTGTGGATTGCATCCAAGGATCGTCACTTTTTTGCACGTGGAATCAATCGTTTGCCAAGCAAATGGGAAGCATTTATTGAAGTAGATGGTAATTATGCTCTAGAATGATCATTTAAACATGTTTTGAGTGCACTATGGTATTGTATTGTTGAATAAATTTAGAATCAATGAAAATGGTCGTTAATTTTGCATCAACCCAATATTAACGAAAAAAATGTGCTGAATAGATACTACTATGAAGCAGACATGCAGATATGATATTGTAACTAAACGTACCTTTGTTTGTTATATCAGTGTGAAATGCAATTGTTTCAAGACTAAATCACCAGTTTTATGTGAGTGCTTAGTTACTTATGTTAAAAAAATGCTCTACGTTGGCTATATATATACAGGTAATAAGCTTGTAGTATGTGTATTCATCTGTTTATAATCATGATATATTCTATACATAAAACTACCGTAGCAAGCACATATTGTATACACATTAACGTGGGCTTTCTTTATACTTTTCACACTGTAGACAACGATCAATCGACAAAAAAGAAAAAATTATTCAAGTGGTTGGAAAAATGTACATAATCTACACAATAGGTTCGCTTGCTAGCTTTTACCAACTAAAGTATAACGTACACAAACATCAATGCTGCATTATGAAACACTGCTGCGAGCAAGTATGACTCCGTTGGAAGTACACTTAAAATATGCCAATTAAAAGTGAGTAAGAATATTCCTTTTTCAAGATATATATATTTCATGTGAAAATACGAATTCGAGTTCAGCTACCGACGCTCTCATAGATATGGGAGACTACTTCAACCGTAGCTCTAGATTCACAAACAGGTTTAAGTGTAAGTTCCATCCTGGTATCAATGGAGCATAGGACTTTGCTCTAAACCCAAGTGTCACTACCAGATTTTTCAATAATCTCGGGCTCGAAACTAATACGAATTACACCTTTAGACTGAACTTTGTCGTCGCCGCGAGGCGACGCGCCAATCCCAAACTTGTCGCTACTGAAGGGCACGGTTTCAATCTAGACCCTTCAGCCACCAGCAGCTTTCTCACTGGTCCCACTGTAAATACTAGTATGAAACACGGTTTCAGTGCTGCCTCTAAGTTCACTACCAACATTTAACCTCATCCCCGCCTCCATATTCATCCAAGACACTACGACAATCTGAAGCATACCCTCTTTAGGAGCACTTATTTCCATATAGGTAAGGATTTCAATAAGGAACAGGGTCTCAGTTCGAGCTGTATAGCAACAGATCCTGAGCTCTATATTATGAGGGCACTCTTAGGTTCTTAAATCCTTTATTATGGAGTACTCTTAGATTCTGAAGTCGCATATTACAAGAGCGTCCTTCGGCTCTGAAATCCTATATTATGAGGATAATCGCAAGATCTTAAGTTTTATATTACGGGAATACCTTTTGGGTCCTGAATACCTATATTATCAGAGTAATCTCAGGCTCTTAAGTTCTATATTATGAGGTTACTCTCAGGCTCTCAAGGTCTTCATTATGAGAGTACTTGTAGATCTTCGAGTCCCGTTGTATGGGGATTCTTCAGATCTTCAGGTCCCGTACTATGGATTGTTCTTGAATCGTTTAATGTAAACAAAGTCGAAGAAGAGAAAGAATAATGATCTTTTTTTGCTTTCATTCATAAAAGCTGTTAGTACAACCCCCCGGGGGATTAAAAATGGGAAACACGATGTAGCTGCTATAGCCGATGTTTTAATAATTATTGTTTTTTTATGCCTACTGATGTACAGTTCTTCATAATGACTTACCTTACAGTATAGACTTTTAACAGGATAATACTTCATGTATGCTTCAATCGTATGTTAGTTATGCATCAACTCTAATACTCCGTGAAGTCTTCTATAGGTGCCTAATAATTCATGAGTCCTGTCTGTCGCAGTCTGTGTGCGTGTGGGGGGGGGGGGGGAGAAAGGGGCAGGTGTAAACTTTTACCCCCAAAACCTCAACATTCCTTGCAGATCATGTTTTACAAAAGGAAGCGAAATAAAAAAAGTGTCATTTTTAGGTGCTGGTTTACTCTAGATAGTGAAAAATATCTTATCACTGATTCTCATCTCTTCCTTGGCATGAAGAACTGATAATGAGATTTCACGCGCTGAATATCAGAGAACAGAAAGAACATAGTATTAAAACCTGTCATATATGTGTAGATGATCGATCCTCCTTACCCAGATTATCTCTTTTCTTGTATCTTCTCTAGTCAGTTGTTATTATTGTTGTTTGTTTTTTTTAAAGAATTAGGTTCTTCGTGATTTTTAAAATAAATGATTTTGGAACCTAACAATAGTGCACTGGCAGATGTTTCTTTAAAATAAATAAAAAAGATTCTGTGTGGCAATCAAAGCAAATATTTGGCTAGAAACAACATTGATGAATACTAAATCTATTCGATCTACGACGGATTTTACACAAACAACTATAGCTTCTTTACTATTGTCTTTTGAAAAACAAAAACAATCATTATTAATAATTTCAAATTCCGAACAAATTAATATCGTTTCTACAGTCACAACATTTGATCTTAATAAAAACATTAAAAATTTTTACTGAATCAACGACGTATAAGCTAGATCATGACTTGGATGGTCAGTGATCAAATGAAGCTGATTACAAACAGCAATCTTTAAAACAGCAACAATTAAATTCAATAAAAAAGTTTAATGGATATGGTAATCCAAATATTTTTTAGAAAATATTATAAAAGAAGTTTATTTATTACGACAAACAGCTCGTGAATGCAATTAATAAACTTCTTGTATTTTAACTGGTGACGCACTTATTTGGTATTTTGAACAACAAGAACACATGCCAACTTACATTGCATTGATGAGACAATTTTGGCAATATTTTGTAAGCCAAGAATTGAAAAAAAGACCTGTCCAGAGAACGGATAACATCATGTACGACGTCAAAACAATTAGAAAACGCTCATAGTCAAGATACTGTGATGAATTGCTTACGAAATCAATTTTTAATTAAGACTCTCGAAGAACTACAAATATTTTCTGAAAAATTACAACAAAATGTATCTAAATGGCTTAGAGCACTTCAACAAACGATAAATATTTTTAACCTAACAGATGATGAAAAACTTATTTTTACGTATCTTTATGCTTAGAAGCGGATGTAAGAGATTCATTTTATGATAATCCTCACTGATCTACAATGTGGTCCACATTTACCGAAAGTTTATAAAAAAAAATTGAATTTTCAGAAAAAGCCGATATTTCCTTTAATCGTTTACGTCATTATCAACAAAGAATAAATCAAGATGTAAGGTGATATTATTATGATGCTATGAAACTACGTAAAGAAGCAAATCTATTAATAGATGGTGCTAATAAATTACAATATTCAGGGTGTGGGTGTGTTATAGCTGCCACGACGCGTTTCGATCCGGCTAAAGATCTCATCAGGTGGCTTTAGAATTTGATGATTTAATTACAGAATTAAATCACAAAATTCAAATTTATACTGTTCTACAAAAAGTAGAATGATAAATTTTGTGGACAGTGGTGTGTTGAGTCTATGGGCTTTTTTATTTCAAACTGAATTCTAAAATCAAAAAAACCGCACCAACTTCTTCCGAATCAAACTTTTCTCGTTTGATACTACGTAGTCCCACTAAAAACCCTTAGTCCCCCCTAGTCCTGCAAAGTCCCCCTTAGTCCCCCCCACAAAAAGCTTAGTCCCCGCTTAGTCCCTTGTGCAGGGGACTAAAGCCTATAGTACACAAAGCCACAAGCACACCCTCACCCTCACTCGCGCGCCCACACCCGCACCATGGGTGTGGGTGTGTGTGTGGGTCCCAGACCAACACCCACACCCTCAGTCACTCCCCCCCTCACTCCTAGACTCACGTTTCAGTTTGAAATCAAGTATTATTTTTATTTGATAAATTCAGACTGAAATTAAATAGCCCATAGTATGGGTGTGTTATCGCTGCCACGACGCGTTTCGATCCGGCTAAAGATCTCATCAGGTGGCTTTAGAATTTGATGATTTAATTACAGAATTAAATCACAAGTTCAAATTTATACTGTCGTACTAATGGAGTTTTGTTGTCAATGTGCTTTCATTTTTATTGTTGTCATTGCTATGAAATAGAATCGACGTGGAGTTGCTATGGTTTTTTCGTTATCTGAAATAGAATCAATGATATATAGTAGATTCACTAAATTGGATTAGAAGATTGGTGTGCTTTAAATGTATTTACTACTATAATGTGAAAACTATAAGATAGATAAGTGACAATAGTTTAGAAAGAGAAGAAAGTGGGTATGTTTAGAGTAGTAATGATAGTTCCCGAAAGGTTTTGCTGATATAGTGATGGTTGTATAATATTGTTGGTTTGATCATTGAATAAAAATGAGGTCGTCGAACATTTGCTTTGGAAAAAGAAATGTTCGATGGTTTCAATTGTTCTGGACGTTGTTTTTGTTTTTTGTTTTGTGTCTCTCTTTAGAATGAAAAATGTATGCACATAATTGAAGGATAATTTATCGTCTTTTGCATTTTCTGAATAGACATACTTTTCATAGGTTTATTCCGTAATGTGGATTGCTTTGGTCGTTTACGAATGAGTTCGTTTTTAGCGTCTCGACGATTTTTGTTGCCGACGATCAGTTTAACGTCGGCCTTGGGTGTGTTTCTGAAGACATCGTCATAGACTCGATGGATGTCACGTTTTGTAGATTGAAAACGCTTCTCATGTGTGTAATGAACAATTAATTTATCAGGAAAATCATGCTTTTGTTTGCCTTTTTCATCAGCTGTTTTCTCGAATACGGTGTGTACTCCATCGGCCTGATCATTATGAATATCAGCTTTTGTTGCGCTCATAGAGACTTGTGATTGACGATGGGTAGGTTGCTTCAATAATGTATTACGTAGAATTAAAAATTGCTTTTCATCATCCATATAAGGTAAAAAGGTAGATGAAGATATATATTCAGAGAAAAATCGTCGAAATTGTGTCTCAATCAATGATGATGGATATCTAAAAGATATTTAATGAATAGCAATGATATAACTGGAAAGAGACTTACCCATTATATAATAGGGTTAATTTAACATAAAGTCGTTCATTATTAAATATTTCAAATGTGGATGAATATCTTACAGCTCTTGTAAGACCTGTTTTTATAATATTGACGAATGTATGTGATGGATGCTCAGAAATAAATGGTACAACAGAAGGTTCAGCTGATGGTTTATGATACACAGATGTTGATAGAATACCATGATTATTTGTTAGAAAAACATCAAGAAATGGAAGACTTCTACTAATTTTATATTCTAATTTAATATTGGGATGCCAAGTATTGGCTTCATCTAATATGTCTTGCAAGGCTTTTTCCGATTTATTCCATGTCATGAAAATATCATCTATATATCTGTAAAGATGATTGAATGAAACATTAGATTTCTTAAATTCTATCTACTACTACTTACCGGCCATAAAATTCCCCTGTCATATCTTGCCGACGAACAAATTCTTTTTCCCATTTCCACATGAATATATTGGCTAATGTTAATGTAAATGATGAACCCATCGCACCACCAAGAACTTGTCTATAGATTTTTTTATCATAGACAAAAACATTTTCTTTGAGTACAATGGAAGCTAATTTTCTTATTGCCTCAAGTGGAATACATTTGACTTTGTTATATCCATGTACATGAAGAAATTCAATAAGAATATTCAATGCTTCTTCTTGTGGTAACATTGTACATAAATTACGAATATCAAACGTACAAAAAAGAGTGGTTGATTTTAAAAGACCTCTTTTCGCATATCGATTCAGGTCTTTTATTTGAAGAGACACCATCAATAATGCTGGTTGTACTACATTTATTATCGAATATGGGCCGTATGATTTCATCTAAGAAATTTGATATATTTGTTGTTGGAGCTAGAATTGTATTTTCAATGGGTCGAACTGGTATACCATCCTGAATTTCAATATAAGTCGAATGAAATCAAACTC